ACATGACCTGACTGGCCACATCGGAAACAAGCACCGGATACTCGGTAGCACACACCCTTATGCTTCGTACCACAATCAGAACAGACCGGGATAGACCCACTACTCTGACTCGAGCTGCTTGTAGACCCCGTGTTTTGCTTCTTACTGACAAAAGACCGGCCTCTTTTAAAACCAAACCCAGACCTTTTTCCTCTCCCATCGGTTTATAGAGCTGCGGGGGCCTTGCTTTGTTTCATAGCGGCTATGGTGGCTTCCGCCATTAAGGATCTGTCTAAAACTTCCACATAAGTAGGCAATTTCAATACGCCTACTCGATTAAACACCTCTAAATCCAGACCCTCAAATTTTCGTGCTTTCTTGTAGTCGGTGTCCACCATATGTGGAGTAAACTGTACTAGTTCGGTGAATTTGGCTTCATACTCTGCTACAGACATTCTTCCCTGTTTAAGTTCTTGAAACTCAGACACTTTTCGATCCCTAAAACATTGGGAAAAATATTTATCATAGAAAATGGCATTAAACTCTGCCCACGTCATATTCTCATTGCCACTTCGAATCAGTAACCACCACCTTCGGGCTTTATCTTTCAGAATATAGGTGGCTAGGAGGACTTTCTGGATTTCAGAACAAGGAAACACCTCATACAGCTTTTCCATTTCAAGTAACCACGTTTTCGCGTTCAACGGTTCAATTCCATCATAGAATGTTGGCGGTTTCATTTTCATGAACTTCTGTGTCAAGTTGATGATGTCATTATTATCCACTTCAGCTCGTGCCGGCGGAGGTAGAGGGGGCAAAGGTTGTTGTCTTTGCTGCTGTGTCAAAGTTTTAGTCAATGCTGCAAGCATTTGTTCCATTCGGCCCATGCGAGCCTCCGAAGATTCACTTACATCACTTCCCCTTGCATTCTCCATGTTACTATAGAGACATCAAACGATAATAAACATAGGCATAATCTCATTCGTTTTTTTCAATTCATTTGCTCAAATTTACATTTAGTTTTCACATTCATTTGGATTACCACACACTCACACATGCAGATGGAATGCTCCTAACTCTTATTAGGACATCTTAAGCTCATATGGACCTGTGTATGCGGTAGAACACGTGCTTTGATACCACTCTGTCACCACCCAAACCCGTCCCTGTATGTTTAGCATCGTAATCGGCCAGTAATCTTTGGATTACCAAAAGCCTCTTGATAGATTAGCAAATAATAAAGGGCTGCGGAAGTAAATATATAAAATAGATAAGGTCCAACGAGCTGTGCTAATACACATGAGACAGAAAATTTCAAAACTTATATATACATAAGCATGTCGGTCAAAGGACACCAATATTTACAAAATATTTACAAAAGTGCAATCCCCAGGACTCGACATTACAAAACATTCAGAGACTAGCATAAGTACAAAAACAACCATGTAGCTAGACTTCGGTCGGAACCTCCTCGGGAGACACAACAATTGGCTGACAAAAACAGAAACAAAGGCCGTCAACTCTGGCCCTGATCACGCGTCGGATCACCTACATACATAATATAAACTGTGAGCGAAAGCTTAGTGAACAACAACAGAGTAAGGGGGTTTCAATGAATGTGTCCATACAGATTCAGAAATCATAATTCAGTTTCGTATCAAATTCATAGTTTGTCCAGATCGTATACAGAAATCATAAGTCATGCGTAAGCATACGTGATACATCCATTAGCATTAACAGAGCAGATACAGAACAGATACAGACACGTGAAGGTTACGAATAACCAGTTCCATAAAGGAACCTGCGAATCCGGGTAACAGAGAACAGATACGCTGAGCTCCCATGACGGAGCCTCCGGTACGGGTAACAGAGTGCAGAAAGATTAAGTTCCATAAAGAAACCTCCGATACTGGGTAACATCCATAGATATCACATGATGCTAAGGATGTCACGAATATATATATTAGAAATTAGACAGTCATTCATTGTACAGAACATAGCACTTTAGAAAACAAATCTTATTTTATCGCACAGAAAATAAATACAATTGAACATAACTTTACTAAGTTATTACTCACAGTTGGCCTTGAGACAGGCAGACAGAGCAGATTGGTCAGACAGTACGCGACACGTGACTTACACGACACATAACAGATACACACTTGAAACACACGCTCGAACTATACATAACTTGTGTCGTTTACTCCTAGTGTGTTTCTAATTTTTAATCCTCATTGTGGAGTCTTAAACATGGCCTAGGAATGCCTAGAATGGAATGGGGATGCAAGAATGCATGGAAAACATTTCTCAAAATTTGCTGAAAATAAGGTTCACGCTCGAGTGTGGCTTTCCTCGCTCGAGCGGACATGCAGACAATGAAGCCCGCTCGAGCGTGACTTTCCTCGCTCGAGCAGACTGTAAACTCATGAAAAAGTGCTAGATGCATGATTTTCACGCTCGACGGACGCTTGACCTCCGCTCGAGCGTGAGACTCAGACCCTCGCTCGAGCGTGAATCGCCTCGCTCGAGCGGACTGCAAAACACAAGAACTTCTGGGTATATGCATTTCACGCTCGAGCGTAAACATCGTCGCTCGAGCGAAAGTGCACGTACTCAGAGCGCACGCTTGAGCGTGGAGTTCCACGCTCGAGCGTAGATCAAATTTCTGGAAATTCCAGATTTGATCACCAAGCTCAAATTCGACCTTGAAGCATTCAAAACTCAATTTTCTGGGCCCAAAACTTTGGAAAACACTAATAACTCATATAACAACATGTTTAAAGGATCATTTCAAGAAATCATGGCCCAAAAGGATATCAATTATGCACAAACTCAACTTAAATTCAAAATCAATTTATGAACATCACATGCATGTACATTTTTGAGCTAAGGCTCTCCAAAACATGATCAAATGCTACTAAATCACATGAAACTCATTGTGTTTCCAAACTTAGAATGAACTCAACACATGCATGAAGGAATTCTTGAAAATCAATCTCCATAATGTCATGAAACATGCATGCATGCATGAATTCACTCTTAATTCTCATCATTTAGTTCAATTCACATGTTAATCCACCTAACACTATTAATTTCATGTTCTAATCAACCAAACTTCAAGGCTAGAGGTTAACATTCTTACCTAGGGGTCTCAATTCCTTATGCTAGAGATGGTCTTGAGTGATCTTCCAAGTTTTCCTGGCAATTCCCCTCCTTGTGAATTCAATCTTCAAGCTCTACACCAATTCTCCCTTCTCTCACTCTCCCTCACGTTTTCTTCCTCTCAAAGCTCAAGTGTGATTAAAAATGAATAAAAGAGGTGAGTAGGGTTCAATTAGCCTAATAAGTGGTAATTCTATAAATCCTAATTAGCACATAAATCAAGTCAATTTTCGATTAGGACACCGATAAGGCTTTCAATTCGCAAATCGAAACTAGAACATGAACATATCTCTCGACATCGAATAGATAGAGACACAAAAATAATGCAAGGCACATGTAAATTAATTCCAAATCCCTCATAGATTACTGTTAGGCGTAATTAAATATAGATTAACATTAATCAGAGGTCGAGGTTGTTATATGCTCGCTCCTTTAGGGGTGTTTGCGGATCGATTTTTGACGATTTAGTTTGCGGTTTGAACCCATTCGCATGTCTGCGATTTGGGAAAAATTGAATTCGTAACCGTCCGCAGTGCTAGTTGCGATTTGTGGGGATAAGGTTCGCGGATGTGCGGATGGTTTGCGGTTGGACTTTTTCCTTTAAAAATTTATTTTTAGACTTGTTTTTCCCCATTTTTAAATATTCTTTTTGGTCCTTTTTCGTCATTTCCATAATTTCATCCCACTTTCCTAACAATGCATTTTCAAGTCCCATGTGTGATGTCGGTGGTTCGTCTTCTTCTTCATTGATTCATGTCCTTGACAGAGTACTGTATGTAATGTTATATCTACCAGACACAACAAAACACACTATGAACAACATTATCAAAACGACAACATCAATTGAATTCAATAATCCCCATTTTTTTTCTTTCTTTTTTCTTTTTTTCAAAGGCAAGATTAATAAAATAGAATACAAATTGGCCTAAGAAGAAGAAGGAAGGAAAATTAAAAGTTAAAAGATAAATAAAAACACAAGAAACAAAGTAAATAAACAAACAATTGCAAAATGATGATCAGAACCCAAAAAAAAAAAAGTAATTAGAGGAATTTACCAATTAGTTTGATCCACATTTTCACGTAAGTGTTCGTACAAGTCGTAAGGTGCCCAAAGAAAAAGGGGTTTACTAATTCGTCGAACGTTTGCAACTCTACTCCTTGCCACCGGCCAAAGGTTTTCAGTGTATCGATTCGCCGATCACCAATCAGTCAATACATAAAGAACGAGAGAGAAAAAAATGAGAAGTAGCTACTGTTCTACTTCTACTGAGTGAAATGAGTGAAAAAATAGAATATTTGGGTTACATACTTATAAAACTTACAAGAAAATTTGATAATGCAAATTTAAAATATATACATATATATATATATATATATATATAGATGCTGACGAGTTCTGAAGTATTTTTCTTTTGATTTTTGACTGTATGCTAAAATAGTTGTGTTTGATAATAGGGTTGAATTTTTTAATATTTGGATATGATGTTTGTGAAAGAAAAAGTGAAATGATTATAGATTTGATATAATATTTCATTATATTGATTATTTTAATTTATTTTATTTTTGAGTGTTATTTTATCCCAAAAAGCTTAAAAAAATCATTTCCCAAACACTCCTAAATTAACCTTCCAAAATAATAAAAAGTTAGCTTTTATTTTAGTGAACCTTTTTTTTAAAAAAAAGTTAAAAATTTTCACACTAATTATTTTGTTTTTAAAATCGCCCAAATTTTGAAAACTAAATATTTTGTTTAAAAAAAAAGCCTTTTAAAAATATGAAAATAAAAAATAGCCAACCTATATGCATTCCAACCACAAAACCAAAATATACATTCCGACCGCAGCCAAGACTGTCGCAAAGGTGTTCTCTCTCTTCCTTACTTTTATTACTCACCAACTTTTCCTACCCTTTTACGTTGATAAAAATATCTGAAAACGAGTTTTCCCCTCTCTCTCTCTCTCTCTCTCTCTCTGCTTCAAGCTCGCACCTTGTCCATATCAGTCTCTTCTCTCTATTATAGGATAATAATACTATAACATACATTTCAAATTATCGCTTCAAATTCACACAATCTCTCACAAAACCCCCTCTCTCAGATCCATGAATCCCTCTCTCTCCTCTCTCCCCACCCTCTTTCTCTCTCCAAAACCCCACCTTCATCCTCATTCCCAGATCTCCCAACCCTAGTTTCCCCAAATTCGATGAATCGCTCGCTCAAATGGTTCACGATCGGCCTCGTATCGGCTTGGTACGCATCCAACATTGGTGTTCTCTTGCTCAACAAGTACTTGCTCAGCAACTACGGATTCAAGTACCCGATCTTCCTCACTCTCTGTCACATGATTGCTTGTTCGTTGCTGAGCTACGCTGCGATTGTTTGGATGAAATTAGTGCCATTGCAGATCGTCAAATCGCGTGTTCAGTTGTTGAAGATCGCCACTCTCAGTTTTGTGTTCTGTGCTTCGGTGGTTAGTGGGAACGTTTCGCTTCGGTACCTTCCGGTTTCGTTTACTCAGGCGGTTGGGGCTACTACGCCGTTCTTCACGGCGGTGTTCGCGTATTTTGTGGCGGTGAAGAGGGAGGCTTGGCTTACTTATGCCACTCTCATTCCTGTGGTCGCTGGGGTTGTCATTGCCAGTGGGGTAAATTTTTCATTTTTTTTTTAAAAAATAATGTTTTAGTCCTGTCATTAATTGAATTTTTGATCTGTTTTTAGCTGGAAAAATGGAATTATAGAATTGGGTATTGAATTGATTATTGAAATTTGTGTGAATTACAAAATTTGCTCCCTTATTTTTAGGAAACTAACTCTTCTTGCCTAAAGAATCAGCTTGGTTTTCTTTATTTCAAAATTTTAGACAAATTGAAGAACTAGTAATTTACAGAGGGCCATCCTCCTTTTCATTTTGGCTTTTTATATAAAGAGATTATCTTTCTTGTTCATTTATTCTTTTTTTATTCCTACAGATCTCAACAGAAAGTTCTTAAATCTTTTTTTCTTAATCTCCATCTTGGATGGGCAATGGAACACTACAGAATTGTAGAAAATGTCTTAGATTTCTCTGAATTATTTTTAGTGCTTTTATGTATGCACTATTGTTAACTTCTATTTTTAAACTGTGATGTTGTTGGGCTTTATCTTTGATGGGGAAAAGCGGAATGGTGTAGAACATTAGAAGATGTTTGAAATTTATGTGAGAAGTATCACAAGCATGTTTGAAAGTAAAAAATTATCTGCAATTAATGCATGTGGTCTGGAAGTGTTGAGCGTTTGTGCATGTAGGAGTCCCCTAGATGTATGAACGTGTCAAATGCATCCCATATTTAGATATGGCTACTACTTGAAACTGTCCATGATACTAGTCCAAAATCAATGAAAATGGATAAGGGTCTAATATAAGAAGTACGGACACTTCTAAGAAAGTGAGTATTCATGCAATGTATGTGTCCAATCAGGGACAGAATCAGAATTTCATCACCGGATGGAGATAGAAAATGAATAATATTTTTTCACTATATATACAAATACATATGTATGTACAATACAATATGTAAATTATATATATACACATAAAAAAAAATTCAAATATCATAGAAACAATCTCTAATAGAATGAAGAAATTTTTTTGATAATAAAAAAAAAAAAAAAGAGAGAGAGAGAGAGAGAATGCAAGATGAGAGAATAATGAGATTTATGTCTTTTATACTAAGAGGTCATTTTATTTATGAAATAAGATATATATTTTTAAAAGTGCTATGACAAACAAAAATTTTCACAAAAATAGGGAAGCAATGGCCACCCATTCAAGCAAGGATCCTCTAGAGTTTTTTTTCCTAAAGTTTCCTAGAGTGGTGTGTTGTATGGTTGAAATTTAATGACAAGTTACATCAATTTTTTAGCATTAAATTTCACCCATACAATACACCACTTTAGGAAATTTTAGGAAAAAAAAACTCTAGAGGATCCTTGGTGCACCCATTCTCCTAGTTCCATCCTTGTGTCCATCGCTGATACTCATCAAACATTTTCCAACATTTGTCTGACATACATCCAATGTGTCATTATTTTTAATTTATTTTTAATCAAGATTTGCTTTGGACACTTGGGAACACACATGTCCATCACTTAGGCACACATAAAACATATTTTAAGTTTAAACAAAATAACTTAGAGAATACTATGATAAAATAAAATAATATATAGATTTATACCTATTCATCTATCTTCTTTTAAACTTTAATAATTAGTGTTATGTTATATTTTTTACTATATTTGTAACGCCCTCAAAATAATAACATTAAACCCATCAATATAAACATA